AATATCAATAATGACGTTCTCTGAATAGGGACAAGTACAGAATTGTGTGTGTGTGTGGGGGGGGTGGTTATACCTTCTATGCACTTGTGCACGTTTCTATTACATATGAAGTTGGTACTCAGGCTACTGTAATGGAGACACAGTTAAATTCCACAATGCGGAGGGGAAAAGAAATAACAAACATCTTACTTAAGTTGTGGATGAGACTGAGGCTTCTGCTGTGGAGCAGGCTGTGGCTCTGGTTCCTTTTCCATTGATAATCCGGCACTGGAAGGACCTGGAGCCTTGGCACGGGGTTGTTGAGTTGTAGGTCCAGGTGGACGCTGTGGCTGGGAAGTTGAGGGCTTTGCTGACTGCCCCGAGGGGAACATGCGCTGTGGTTGCAATGGCTCCTGGCTTTGTGATTGCATTCCTTGGGGTTGCACTGGGCCCCCTAGGTTCAGTACAAGAAAAACTTCATAATGTGACAGTTTCAAAGAGCTCAGTAATAATCTGTCAAGTGTTGAGGCAATGTTTTGTTAATATGAACTACCAACTTAGTTTAGTCGATACTATTAAATACAATCAGTACATTAATAGCTTACTTATGGCTCTTCTCAATTCTTCTTAAAATAACTATGAAATATGAGGGGCCAAAGTTATTCCACTTGTATCTCCACTGGGATATCTTTGGTGAGAGATTTATAAACAGAAGGCCAAGCCAACATTATATTACCTCAACTGAAGCATCTACTGCTTTTTATGTTGTTACTGCAATACTGTTTATCCAGACTTTTAAATGATCTCCACCTTTATTCACTTTCCTTTTATCTTAACTTGTGTAGCAGTAAAACTACTTTAAAATGACAGTAGTTCTTTATAATGACACTAGTTGGGAGACTTTAAAATAACCTGGTAGCTTATTTGACCAGTTAAGAACACAAAACATATGATATTCACTACTAATGCTTAATTACCCAAGAGAATGAGTTAATGCTTTTCCACAGTCTACAATATATTCAGACGTATAAAATAGCATTGGAAAAAATTTGAGAACAGTACGTGCAGCAGAAACCTAAGTTGTGAAATCCATGACTGAACTGATCAGCATGCTTCTGTGGAGATGCTTCCTGACAGAAAATGTCCTCAGTGGGTGCTTCTCCACATGCAGGGGCATGTGGTTGCCACAGCAAAAACAGTAGTGGCACAAATTTTTGTTGTATGTGGAGCTGGTGCAGGGCAAATTGCCCCGGGTGGGGTTAGGGAAGGCTGGAGCCAGCACCTATGCTGCTAATTATAGCAATGAGTTCTGCCATCTAAAGGTAAAGACCTATTGTGTTGGGGAGTGGAACTTCATCATTTATTAACTTTAACGATGTTTGTAAGAAATGCTCAAAGGTGGTAACACTTTCTTGCAACACCTTAACAAAATTAATTTGCTTATTAGCCTCCCTTTACTCAGTACTGACAAAAAAGATTTCCCACCACTTGTATATAGAGGCTTATAATGCCAGAAAATTTACACTGAAGACAGATGTAACTTTCTTTTATTGCACATTAAGCTGTACAAGATATATCACATTAGAGATACTGCTGTCACACTTCCAGCATTTGCTCACTTTCTTGCATCTGGATTGTACAAAAAAGCAACAATCATGAAAGAAACTTTTACCAAAAGAACCAAAAGCAAAACCAAACATTAATCCTACACTGTAAAACATCTGTTCCCTGTTATCCACAATATTGCACCTAAGCATGCTTACATGCAGAGAGACATTTTGGCTTGCTTCTTGTCTGTGGTATTTAGTAATGTTGTATGCCCTTTTAAGTCCTTTACAATCAACAAGCTGGAATCCTATCTCAAATGCAAATCTCTTATTTGCACACACAGCTCACAAACGTCACATGAAAAGCACTTGTGAATACTCACACTACTACATGCAAAAAAACACTAACTGCTTTAAATAAAAAGCATTCACCAGATTCATTTTGTCACCCAAGGGCAGTATACTTGATTCACATCTATATGATATCTTGGAGGTAAGGATTTGTGAATCTGATCTGGAGTGGTCTCTTTCTCCACACACAATGTAAATAGCCAACGACATCATCAGAGAGATTACAGATCCAGAAAAACATTGATTACTAAAGCAAAATTTTCACGTAATTTACTGAGAGGCAGTAAACCATAGCACTTGCCACTAACATTTATATAGCTAAAAATGCATATTGAAATTGTCACCCGCCAGCCTGCTTTTACAATAAAAAAGTGCACAATGCTGAATTTCATTGTTTTTTTTCCCTAGTGTTTGTAGGGAAAATAAAAGTAGAACATAATTTTGTTTTAAAGGAAAACAATATTGTTTGTATTAAGGTAGTGACCACTATTTGCCTTTGTATAGATTCTAAATGACAAAATAAAGGTTGGTTTACAACTAAGTTTTACAGTATGTTAGATTAGTGCAGCTTGTGTTCCTGGGCTAGAATTGTCATAACAGTTTAACTGCCTGCCTGAATATTGCATGTGATATCAAGAAGTGAATTGAATATGTGAGAGTCAAAAGCAGTTATGGCTATCAAAAGTCTGGCAGTAGTCAGACATGTTGGGTCTTTTTTTGCATGTTGAGTTATGAGTCAAGATTTTATAAGTCCTATCATGTGATTCATCCTGGAATAGACTATTTTAATGCATAGCCTGACATTTTGGGGCTAGAATACTAGTGCTGTGATGATAAAGTAAATCACTTGTATGTTTTTGTCTTTTATTCATGAGCCAGATCCTTAAGCTAGTTGAACCGACATAGCCTACAGCAGCGGAGGCCTTGATATTTAGAAAACAAGATTTTACAAGGGGCTTAAAGTTTTTAAAATGCTTCCTATAACACTTTGAGATAGGTTTAACTTTTTTGGTAGGTAAAAATGTGTGGGGAAACATTTGCCTTTGTTTTTATAGAAATTGTACATGGCTAATTCAGGATGGCAATAAAGAAACATTAAATATGCTGTTTCTGAAGATATTGCACATAAATGGCCCATTTACATAGCTTTCTAGGTAATAATTTAATGCAGAATTACTAAAAATATGAATACCAGTATGTAAAATATAGGATATTTAAATGTTTCTGGGAAAACCGTCTTGTATCTTACGGAGTCACAGAAACACTAGAGTTCTACTACTCTTATCTATAAGTAAAACTCAAATATTAACAAACTTTATAAAATTATAAAAAAAAAGCGCCTCATTCAACAAATACTAAATTAGATCTTTTAAAATATCTGAATCAGCTGTCTATGCTAGTCATGCACACACACACACACACACACACACACACACACACAAATAAAAATTACGAATATCGCACACGCATACTCACGGAGTTAAGCAAAAGTATTTAAATCTGAATCTTATTTGTGTTTTACCTCACAATATATAATACTTAAAAAATACTGTCTAACCATCCATAATATACAGTCTCACTGGACTCTGTAGAGGCACAATTTTTTTTTACACTGTTGACAACAGCCCTGAAATCACAAGTTATACAGAGAAACGTAGGTAAGCATTACAAGCACAGACATGAACAGGTAAACAACCAGACAGTATAGTTGACACTGCATAGAAAAAAACACAGTCCAGGTCAGCACTGAAACAATGCAAAAACTGCACAAAAACTGGTATGTTTGCTTTTAAGGTTGTTTTTTTGGCTTTAACCCCTGCTTTTATTCTCAATTATCTAAGTAGCCTGGACTTGTTTTGGTCCTACTGCAACGCCATTACAGTCGAGAATGTACTGTAAACAACCTTGAGGTGGTGGTCGCTGAGGTGGGAGTTTGTTTGGCTCTGGCTCCTTAAGTGGTCCACTCTGGAAGATAAATACAAAAACAGAAGAGGGTGAAAATTAGAGCGGCATAGTTACAATAACAAGTCTGCTTGTGTTTCCATTTGTTTGCAGCTTACCATACACCCTTAGAAGTTTATTTAGGTAACACATAACAGTCTAGTGTAGAAACTACTTGCTACAGTGTGTGTATCATGGCATACAAGAGCTCAGCTTTGAGACATTTTCAAAAAATGGTTTTCCTTTTCAGCATGCAGCCATTATGATCTATCTAATATGGGCAGGGTCTCTTTACTTCTAAAGGATGAGGGCTCTCCAGTATCTCATTTCTGCTGCTTTCTCCATGGTTCTGTGAAGGAAGCCAGTGGCATGGACTGAGGAGTGGAGGGGGGAAGGGAAGGGGGTTGCCTTCTTTTGTAACTGAGGGTGCTGAGCTTCTTCCTTGGATCTCTCGAGTATATTTTAATCACATTTGCTGTGACACGGCCTTAGCAGTGCCCTTGTTTCCCTGCTTTACCTGTGGCAGGTTTGCAGTTTCTTGGTGTTTTCAAGGCAAACTTCTTTGTACTTGTGTGACAAGGTTGCTTGTGTAGTTTTAGGAATATCTAAGACACACACAGGATGGGTTGGACAGGGGTGATCCTGCCTTGAACAGGGGGTTGGACTAGGAGTCCTCCTGAGGTCCCTTCTGGACCTATTTTTCTATGGTTCTACAGTTCCTTTCAGGTCTTTCTCTTCTGACTTCTGTTATCTTGAACAACATTTCTGTGTCACTGACTGTCCCCTTTTCAATGTATAAAATAAAACATTTGAGTTTCTGTTTGCAGCTCAGGGACAATTGGAAACACAGCAAAGCAGAATCTGTGTGGGTGCTAGTTTCACTTTGATTCTCAGGCTGAACATGGAAAAGGAAATGAATTACTCTGGCTTAGCTGTTTTGCTGAGCAAAATTAAAGGAGGAAGCAAAACCACAGATAAGAATGAAAATCATTTAAATTACTTCATGCTACCCTGTGTGATGTGTTATTAGAAACATGTCCTACTTAACTGTTCAAAATAGATTATTTTCAATACATACTTCTTTGGAAGAAGCAATTGGCTTGAACCAAAACTTTCTGGCAGCATTAAGACCCAGACTTCAGCTTTGTCTTAGGCTCATCATTATTATTTTTTAAGTGTAATATATTAAATTATTGGACAAAGTAGCTTGTGTTTTTTTTTATAAAAAATCCAGAAATTGAATTTCCATTTGTCAAGAAGGAGAAAACCCAGAATCTATTAAATGGTAAATATAAAATGAATTAATATGTGGGGGGTTTGGGGGTGGTTCTTGCAAAACTCACTGTTTTTAGACAGATTTGTGCTTCATCTTAACACTGAAGAAATAAATCTGATGCCTAATGATTAAAGTTCCTATGCAGGAATCTAGAATTGTAATTTTTGTGTGTTGCAATGCAACAGCATTCTAGCCTAAGCAGCTGTGTGAAATAGTTTTATGTCTACTTTAGCTGCATAAATAAAAGACAACGTGACAGGTCCAACACAGCACAGAGTCAGAGGAGGGGCACACTGAAGTGCTCTGGGTTAGAATACAAGGCAGTCAAGGGGAAAGAGACTTAACGGTGGGGGTCTACTACAGACCACCCAACCAAAGGGAAGAGCTAGACCAGGAATTCTTAAGTCAGCTCACAGAGGTAGTTAGGTTAAAGGACGTGGTCATCATGGGTGACCCGAACTTCCCAGACATCTGCTGGGAAGAGCAGTCAGCCAGGTGTGACCGCTTACGTAGGTTCCTAGCCAAAATGCAGGACCTCCATCTAACCCAGGAGGTGCACAGCCCCAGCAGGGGAGATGCCTTGTTGGACCTGGTGCTGGCCACGGGCAATGACCTGATGAAGGGGTTGCAGGTGCTCGACCTCTGGGTGACAGTGATTATCGCCTGCTGGAATTCACCATCTAGTCCAAGGTGGCAAAGGCCTGCAGCAAGGCAGAAGCCCTAGATTTCAGGAGGGCGGACTAAGGAGAATAGTTGGGGAGGCACTGAGGTCCCGGAGGGGAGGGGAGCCAGGTGTCCAAGAAAAGTGGTCGCTCCTTAAGGAGACGATCCTCCAAGCCCAAAGGGAGGTAATCCCAACACGGATCAAAGGGAGCAGGAGGGCACAAAAGCCCCCATGGCTCACCAAAAGCATCCAAGAATGTCTCCTAGCTAAAAGGGAGCTATACCCTGTACACCCAATGGAAGGGAGGAGCCATCACCAGGGAGGACTATACCGCGGTTGCTCAGGGATGCAGGGCGGCAGTCAGGAAGGCCAAGGCGCACATGGAACTGGGACTAGCTACCTGGATCAAGGACAACAGGAAGTCCTTTTGTAAATACATAGGGGGAAAAAAGAAGGTACTGGGTAAAGTGGGGCCCCTGCAAGACATACTAGGAAATTTGGTCGTCGCACCAGACGACAAAGCTAACCTATTTAACGACTTCTTTGCCTCCATTTTCCTGAGCAGGGACCGGATCAGCCATCCCACTGGGGCCCCCTCAGGCCCCAGGGGAGGTGCACCTAGGCCAAGGGTCAGTGAGGATCTAGTCAGGGAACTTCTGGAGGGACTGGATATATTTAAATCAGCTGGTCTGGATGATCTCCACTCCAGAGTGCTGAGGGAATTAGCTGAGGTCACTGCGGGACCCCTGGCCTGGCTTTACGAGCACTTGTGGTGCTCTGTTGTGGTGCCAGAGGACTGGAAGAGGGCCAACGTGGTTCCCATCTTCAAAAAAGGGAGGAAGGAGGACCCAGGAAACTATAGGCCAGTTAGTCTTACCTCGATCCTGGGTAAGCTTTTTGAGAGAATTATCCTGGCACATGTCCACGAGGAGCCAGCAGGAGAGATCATGCTTAGGGGCAACCAACATGGGTTCATTAGAGGCAGGTCCTGTCAGACCAACCTGGTGGCCTTCTATGACCAGGTCATCAAATCCTTAGATGCAGGGGTAGCAGTGGA